TGGCTAGGGGTTTTCGTTTTTCCCCAGAGTAACTTGTGTACGAGCAATTTCATAGAAAGTCCCCACGAAGCTTCCTCCATGCCTGTTTGCAATGTTGTGAGCATTTTTTATTTATCTAAATGTAGAGTATTTTTGATAGATGTACTTTATTTCATATAAGGCTCATTAATGATGATATTATGGCTGTTTGTTTTGAAGAATGTATATATTTTGGATATGCTATAATTTACTGTATAAACGTTTTTGCTATAAAGATCATAGATCAATTTTTTTTTTTTTTTTTTCAATCTGTAGATTCAAACTTAAGATCTATAAATAGGATAACATATAATACGATTAGGTATTCACTTATGTCCACTTGTGTATTATATTAAAAAGCATTTTAGGATTCGGATTGATATTGCAAAAGCTTTAAGGGAATAAGAAAAGAAATAACCCCTTTTCTTTAATCATTGCACAGAAAAAAATAATTTAAAGCAAATTTTTATATATTAGAATTAACGTGTTTATATTAATTTGTTACGAAATACTATATACGTTTTTAATATTTAAGCGATAAATCAATCGCTTAATTTAAACAATATAGATAATGGAGAGCTTAAGATACATTTTCTTCTTTTATTACGAAATGAAAATCATTGTGTGAGCTCATTATACATGTTATATTTAATGATATTAACATTACTGTATAATTTTTAAATATTTTTCTGTGGCATATGTTTCCGTAATTTTTCAAATTTATTTCCGTATAAAAGTTAGATACGTTTCCGTTTATTTAAATCTGCTTCGCTAAATTTATAATATCGCTCAATCTTATTTATCTTCGTTGATAAATCGGTAGAAGAAAAGTATTTAAATATTATGATATAATATAGCAAGTTATGAACCTAAAATTCAAAAATATTAGTTGTAAAATTAATTTCACTTGACTTTGTGTTTGAATAAAAGTGAGATAAATATGTGTCGACGCCTTCGCTTGTGGCGTCACAATCGATGGAGCAGGCTGTGATATCTAGTTGTCCTTGGGTGTAGCCCCAGAAGCCAACTTAATATTAAAAATATAATAAAGATTCTCAACGTTTTATGAAAATAACTGAATATAAAACTTTAGTTCTTTACTTCGGGCATCTCAACCGACGTGCCTACGGTAAGCTCCTCAAGCGGCTTTTTATATGCCTTTTGCCTTTCTGTACAAAAGCGTGCGCGAACACACCAAGATGCTTAATTGGGGAATCTAGTCAGTAAATAAATTGTATAAATGTTGAGAATTTGGACATAGACTATAAACACCAACAACCTCCCCCCCCCGAAATAGAAAATAAACTCTCTATACCAGTGTCCAGATAGCGAAATATCCAGCTATCTGTCCAAAACCGAAATTATCGAATTACAACAGCACCATTACAATAACAATAGTTAAGTTTATAAAATAATATGATCTGATGAAAAACTAACAACCTGGCAACTAGGTACCTAATCGCCTTTTAAATTGCCGTGCCGTACACTAGTACACCAGTTGTGTGCTCTGTCTGACTGAGTCTCGCTGAATACTTAACGATGAATATCATAGTAGTGTTTAAGGCGTTTTAGGGTTTCGCTTTTATCTGGTTACATCTCTGCATGCTTGGACAACTGAAAACTATACATCAGCGTAAGTTTTTAATAACCACTGAATTTATACTGTGCTATAACTATTTCTTTAACTATAGGTAGATTAAAAATTAACCAGGTTGAGTAAGAAGGAAACGAAAAGCACATATATTTAAATATGATTGTAGGCAAATGGTGATAAGAATATTACAATTCACTTATGTACTAATTCTTGAATACTTTGTAAAGTTTTCTTTGGGGGGTGGAGGGAAAAAAACATACTGGGCCGCGAAATGTTTTCGTAAGTTTTACCGGTCAGCGGACTAAAAGATGTTGAGAAGCACTGCTCTACAGACTTTTGCGTTTTCGTGTATGCAATCTTGCCTCCCTCAAAGTGAAGAAAAGAAAAGTTGGGGCCAAAATGGCAAGTTTCCATAGAAAAAGGCTACTTGTTCCCCCTTCCAAAAAAAAAGCCGATTTCACTGTATACACTTTAAATAAAAACGATAAAATAGGATAAAAGAAATTATATTAGTAAAAAAATAAAAACGACTTCATCAAATGGATTTCTTTCCAATAGTAGTAAGGTTAGGATCGAAAATTTCTTCGCCAAACACTCAGTGACTCAGTAATACGAAAATGGAATGGTAGATGATAATAACAGTGGAAATGGAAATGACCGATCGGAAAGATGTGGAATGAAGCAACGTCTGCGTATGTAGGTCGGTATTACGATTTAAAACTTGTCAAGCGTGAATTCCCAATCGACTTCTTTGTTGATACTATCCCTGAGAGTGTGGGAGGGGCGCGAATCCCATGGTCCCTGTCCTGTAAGCATTCAAGGAACATTTTTCTTCTTTCCCCAATAAGTGCACATTCTTTGCATTAAAAAAAAAAGCTCGTTCGCTGGGCGGACCCCTCCCTGGTCGGCATCCGCTGAAAAAAAAAGCCTTGAGGGCCGCTTCTCCGGCCCGTGTCCCCAAACAGTGGCTCTAAAAGTGTTCGAACTGTGATTGTCAATGAAATAAGGCTCTATCCAAATTAAAGTAAACTTTCTGAATGAGATTTTATAATAAGATCTAACCTATTCGCAGCAAAATTACATTTTTTTTAAATATAGCGAAACTTATTTTTAAGTAATTAATATTCAAAAAATGACAAACATATTATGTCACAAAAATCTTGACATAATAGTAAATATTTTCATTTTTCATTAAATTAATATTTAGTAGGATATCCTTTAGCATACTCAACAGCTTTTAAACGTTTGAGAATAGATTTTACTAGTTTTTTTGTAACTTATGTATCAATGTTCCTTTATTCTTCCATCATGACTGTTTTCAGTCGCTTTTCGTTTTGATGTCGTGTTTCCGTACTCTAACCTCTAGTTCTTTCCAAATTTGTTCTATGGGGTTTAAAATCTGGCGACTGAGTTGATGTTTTCAAGACTTGTGGACAATTATACAGACACCACAGGCGAACGTTGAGAGCCGTATGCTTAGGATCATTATCATGATTAAAAATAGTTTCCAATACCCAAATTTTGGGCTGATAATTTTAAATTGTCTCTTAAAATATTTAAATAAAGAGAATGATTCATTATGCCATTAAGAAATGCCAAATTACATAGTCCTGATGCTGCCATGCACCCCCACACAAGAACACCTCCACCGCCATGCTTAAATGTTCTAAGTTCTTAGAATGAAGTTCCTCATTTTTTCTTCTCCATACAGTATTCGACCATCGGAACCAAAAATATTAAATTTCCTTTCGTCAGCAAATAGGACATTATTCCAGTGTTTCGGGTGTATTTATCATTGATTTTTCGAATGAAGCCTAAGCTTTGTTTTTTCACTAACAAAAAACTTTTTACAGGCAGAACGCCATGTAATCCAGCTTCTCTGAGAACTCGTCGAACAGTTTCAGGTGAAATTGAAGTAGAAAACTTTGCATTAAAATTCTTTCTCGGTCGAATTTCTTACCTTGTTTTCAATCGATTTTCTTCTTTAAGCATGTTTATCACATACTGCACTGTAGAATGGGATAAATTAACTAATTTAGCGATATTTCGAATTGATTTACCACTACCATGGTGAAAAATTATCAATTTTCGAATGCTGTTTGTAATTTCTTTACGACTGAGACCCATTTTTCAATAATAAATAGAATATTATGAAGTAAACAATAAAAAATTACAGCAAACGATTTTTTAAATGGCACCACAATGCAAAAATTTTAAAAAAGCGGCGAACGTTAATTCTAATTTTGATTTTATCTAAAAATATTTCAGTGTACGAAGACTTTTGCGAGACAAAATGTTTGTCATTTTTTTATTATTAATTTCTTAAAAATAAAAGTTTCGCTATATTTAAAAAATATTTCATGTAATTTTGTTACAAATAGATTATAGATCTTATTGTTAAAATCTCATTCAGAAAGTTTACTTTTAATCAATAGATAGAGCCCTATTTCAATGAAAATCATATAAGTGTATGAAGACTTTTGGGAGCCACTGTATATATAGGTATAAAGGAAAATATATCGCATTTGGTAAGTGTTTGTATATGTTACAAACTAAACAACGGAAGCAAAGGAAGATGAAATGAGTTAAATAAAAACTGTTAAAATGAATAAATTATTAACTTTTATACATTCACTTGATATTTTATAAGAAACAATACGTATCTTAACAGAATTATTTAATAGGTAAATATATACAATACATGTTATAGTTACAGAGTTAATACTGAACTATATCGGCTAAACTAAGAATAGTCATTATTAAATTAGAAAGAATTATTGTTATTTTATTGTTCACTTTCAACTAAATATAATCATTATTAAATGGTACGTACAACTCCAGCATTCCATGAGCCGAAATAAAAGAACTTCTACCTACATTGCATTCATATCATATGAGCTCAAGGAGGGTAGAATAACTCAAGGAGGCTATTCTAACCTCCTTGTATGAGCTCATGCTCAGCTGAAGGAGTTTTTTTTTCCCGTATATACTTAATATTTATCTTTACTGTAATAACCATATGCAGTGCTAACTGCCGTATATGCAGTTCTCGACACCATAGTCAAGCCATAAAAAAAGCACCTTAAGTACACTCTGTTGAAAAATGAACCGCCATTTTTCTCTATTTAATACCCCTTCCCCCAACTAATCGTATATGAAGTTTGCTGCTTCAGTAGTTATGTTTGACACATACAAAATTTCATTTCAGCCGCCATAACGAAATATGGCCAATCAAGTATCACACTAGAAAATACGACATATCATCACGATAGTTCGTTCATCTCTGCGCATGCGCTAGCCACACAATTCGCCAAGACCTGATAAATCGCCAAATTTAGTCGCGAGTTGCGTTTCCTAGGGAGGAATTTTAAGGGTCAGACTCGCTCTCCCACTTGCTGTGGAGTGAAAAGAGAATCCCGACATCGATGTTAAGATCGACAAGAGTCTTTTTCATCAAAACAATTTAATGGGAATTACAGCAAATATTTTTTAAATTTTTATATTTGATCCCCATTAAATTGGCTTTCGAGTTCAAGACTAAGCATCGAGGTGCACCGAGCCATTACGTTTTTTTATCATGAGTAAACAATTATTGTGAGAACTTTAATAGATCCAACTTAGATATGGGAGGAAATGATAATTACGCTTTGGACAAGCACAGGTGAGGCTTACTTAATTCTGATTGTTTAAAGTATTTCATAGAAACTTAACAGATTTCAAAATTATTCTATAATCCTTTGTTTACACTTACATCATGTTATATAACAATTTTTTCTTTACTAATCAACTTATTTGTCACCTGCTTAGGTATGATGAATCTTTGAGCTATTAAGCGTAAAGTTTATTACAAATACTATATAAGAAATATATTAATTCCATAGCATATACTAAATTTGTCACCGTTAAATTAACAGCTTTGCTTAAGGGTCCAATATGCTATTTTCAATTGTCATCAATGGAAAAGATGCAATTGTTGTACAGTAAAAAGTAGTAGAAAATATGTATTATTGCTTATTTATAAATATGCCATATGACCTCGCACATTTTTCTTTTCCCCTACTAAATTTATCATTTGAAAATCCAAAGGAGAAAATTATCCAAATAACTGAATTTCTGAAGGATGCTGTTACAGTAAGAATGTAACAAATGAAAAGCAGTCATACAGGTACTGCACAGGAAAATAAAAGTAACTATCACAATATTATTTCTTTAAAAGGAACCTACAATCAATAAGAAAACATGACAATCTTAACAGTTATCTAACACAATATTTTCATTTCTACTTCCCAGCTACTTGAATTTTGCCTGTACTTATTGTTGTCTTTGCAACTCCTTAGGCTATCCATAAATAATTAGGAAAGTTGAATATGCAGCTATCTTATCTTAAGGAAATCGAAGAACTGAATTGCGAGGTTAATTTTTGCTTTGGTGTGATTGATCAGTTCTTCTGTTGGGTTGGCATAAATTTCAACAGTTAGGAGAGAAAGATAAAGATAGTTTGCACAGATTTGTCTTTGTTAGCAAGGTTAAAAAAAAAAAAAAAAAAAAAATGCTACGGGGATGCATCCATTTTAAAATTCAAGGAAGTTCATTCTCTGAATATACCTGAAAATAAATAAATAAATAAATAAATAAACTGTGAATATTTTAAAAATTTGCAAAACCTGGCATTAGAAAGGTGGGAGAGGATATATGAAATGCGATATTAAATAAATTATGTAAAATATTGAGCAAATTGTTTGTGTGTTTATGAAATAATGAATATGATGCAAGAAAATGCTTATGAAAATTTTTCCTTCTCTCAGCATGCCTGATATAAAAAGGAAGTTATCTAAGCTACCTTTTTTCCCCTTTTTTTAATGAAAATATACATTATCTGTTAATGCATGTTTTTTTCTTGCATTTTGGAGAAATGATTGTATGAGTACATTCCAGTTCATTTACAGCTGGTCGAGAGAATTAACATCTGTTGATTGAGAAGTACAGCTCGATATAGATAACGAACGATAACAGATTGGAAAATATACCTCTGAAAAGATTCTATTAATAGAGCAGAGCTTCTGGTAAAATCAGAGGACCTAATAAAATAGCAGCCTCTTTGTGAAGTGCAAAAATAAAACGAGTCGAAATTTCTTCAGCACTGGCTGTATGGTGGATTCTGCAAAGAAACTGTTGAATGCTTTACTGTAAGAATCGCAGAAAAAACTGCAACTGAGAATTCTGTAAGAATAATAAACATAGCTTTGTTAGGATCTCTGCAAGCTTTCATGCTTGATGGGATAACATATAAGTAGCAAATGATATTAAAACCTCTATCAGTGCTTAAATATTACTTAAAAAAGAGCTTTATATCAATATTCTCTTTTTGTATTGTTGCATCATCCATGCATCTGTGACAAGAATCAGCAGGTAAAGGGCTGCGTATCCGAAATAAACAATCCAGAATTTTACAAAAGTGCATTTATCCGTCATCCTAATAATAGTTTTGAATGTATGGTTTTGAATTGGGGAGGGCTTTGTTTTTTTTTTTTTTTTTACCTTGTAAAGAATTGTGATGCAGCTATGGAGTGGGTGTACTAATGACAAAGGAAGTGTTACATTATTTCAGAAATATGATATCTTGCCTAGGGTAAGAATGCTCATCCCATGAAGCTTTATTTTATAAACGATTGAATGGCATGGAAATGCCAGCTAAGTGTTCGATGCACTTGGCTAGCATTATTTATCTGTGATGTTACATTATGTAAATTTTGCAGCTTAGTAGTAGTTTATGAACTGTTCTTAGGTGATTATAATAATAATTTTCTTTGAATAAATGTAATTCTCCGATGTATATATATATATATATTTTTTTTTAAAATTAAAGCAGGTTTATGTGTATACGGAGATTAGTGGTAAGTTCTACAGTTCTCTGAATTTTTTACTTAACTTTCTATTTTCTTAGTTGAAACATACTAAGAAAATAGAAAGTTAAGTAAATTATAAAGAGCAAAGGGAATTTCAAAATTATATGACGACAAAACTTAGTAAAAGCTGACGTGTAATGTTTATAATGGCTTAATAGTTTGGAAAAGAATAACATCTCTGAGAAATATTTGCATAACCAATTTTTCAGGCACCACGCTCATAATAATCCTACGATCAAGCAAATGTCACAATTTTCGTATGCATTCTTTTTGTTTTATTCCAAATTCAACAGTTATAAACAAGTCATGATATTTTTTGCTTTATTTTTAATTTTTTACTCTATTACAAAATCTTTGTTTAATAATAAAAATTTGTATTTTATGTTTCTAAAGTATGTTTTCTTTTTATATGCTAAGGCTTCCCAACTTACAATAAATATCAATAGTTTGGAAATCTTTTTTAAAAAAATTACGAACTACCAAGTAATTAGCTTTTTATGTGTAAATAATTGCCAAACTATGCTAAGGTGGTTGCATTAATATATACTGTGATTCATAAATATATGAAAATACGGCATTCAACTATTCAATGGTAGCTTTTAGGCAACATTATATTTTTTATGCACTTTGGCATAGATTCAACTAATCTTTTCATGTAAGAATGCCGTATCTTTCCATTCCACTGTAAAAATTGCCTTTAGTAGAGCTTTCAAAGAACTGTGTTTCCTTATTTTCTGCAACTCACTTCATACATGTTTGATAGGATTTAAGTCCATAGAATATGGAAAAGTTCTGTTTAATAATTACAAGCGAACATTTAGGGCTGTAATTTTGGATCATTAGCTACATAAAATTAAATATATTTTGCATTCCAAGTTTTCTAACAGATGTTTTCAGGTTTTCATTAACAATATTTATATTTATATAGATCTATGTAATTTTTTATAAAAAATCAATTTCACCACCCTGGAGGGAAGAGATTTTTCTCAAACCATTTTGAGTACACTCCCATGTTTAACATTAGGCCTTTTAAATTTAAGTCTTTGTTTGGCTTTATATCCATTCATCCATTGGGCCAAATATATATTAAATTTTGACAGTCTTACTATAAAACTGTTCCAGTGTGATAAATGTTTGCTTATCGTGGATTTTGAGAATGCCACATATATTTTTTTCTTAGTTTTTTTTTTTTTTTTTTTGTTTTGTTGTTGATAAAAAATTTCCCTGCTGATTGCCTATAGTATTCATGTGCTCCGGATACTCTTCTAATAGATTCAGTGTTAACTTATAACAAACCATTCTAATAAATCCAGTGCTAGTTTATAGTACTAATATTTCAGTCTTGTTAGTTTTTCATAGGCTAAATCTCTTAATTCCTTAACTTCAAATGTGATGTAGACTTCAGTGCATTTTCAACATTCCGTGCAATTTTCATCATTTTATTACATCGCAGCTAGTCAAACATCAAGGATGTTTTTGAACATTTCAAATACTTTTATCATCTTTAAAATGATGAATAAAAACATTTTTAACAGAACTTGTTGCAAATTTGTAGATCTTGCTATATTCACTTCAGATATGCAACTGATAAAATGTTTTGCTGAACAAGTAGTAATTTCAAATGCAGACGATAATTATAATTCCTGTTATACTTCACTAATATAAAAAGAAACACTAAACAATTCCAATTCAGGGGTACATTGAGGCTTTAACTACATATGTCCGACAAAATTTCTAAGTTTTTGCATCTAATGGTTCTGTGAGACTAAAGGTACATCCAAGAGATAATAAGAGATTTTGTAAACAGTAACAACATTTATTTACAAGAAAATATACGAAAATTTCAATCAATTAGAGATATATTATTAGGCATCTCTGCCTTCCACGTCTTACACCTTTAGTATCCTGCCTGCCACTGACTATTAGGACGAACGCAGCGCCCTCTAGTCAGAATGACGCTGGAAATACGTAATACTCCCCACCTGAACTCACTTGAGTTCACTTACCATTGAATTTTAACTAAATTTACATTCAGGAACCATTTAAAATTACAAGAATAAAAATATAAATAGCATATTATATCAAATACAAAGCTTCAAAATTATTCAGTGACTTAACATACAAAAACCAAATTACACTTTTAACTTCCAAAGAAAATTGTTCAAATATCAAGCATTAAAATATAAGCACAATTAAACTATCATTAATACACAGATAGAACATTAACAGGTTGCAACTCAATTAAACTAACACAATTAAGGATTAATTTCCAAATTATACACAAGTTGTACTGAGCGTTTTATTTGTCCTTTAGGAGTCTGAATAAGAAGAGAACGAACTTTTCCATCTCTTCCTGGATATAGCTCTAAAATTTTTCCCATCATCCACATATTTCTGGGATAACGCTCATCATTAATCAAAACAATATCATTCACTTTAAATGAAACTATTTTACCTGGTTGTGGAGAAATATAAGCTGATCTTAGATTAAGTAAATATTCCTTTCTCCACCTGTTCCAGAAGTGATTCAAAAGTGTTTGCTGATATTTATATTTCTTTACCAAAGAATTCCTATTAACATTTAAATTTTCATTTTTATGTTTTATTACAGGTAAAGACACCAATCCTTTTACCAATAAGAAAATGAGATGGGGTGAGTGGAGAGGGTTCTGAGGGTTCGTTGTACAGATACGTGATAGGCCTGGAATTAACCAGAGCTTCAATTTCCGAAAAAAAAACAGTTTCCAATTCCTTC